CTCAAAACTTTGCATAGAAAATAATTTAAGGTGACCGTCTTTTTTATGCGACCGACAACGCTAAAATACGAACAAGAGTAAAAGCAAATTAAGAGCAACTTCGCCAAACTATACGTGCTCTAAGTAAACCGATACGCACTTCGTTGACATGCTCGCACCATGAACGCTCGACTAGATAGACGGTGCCGTACAGGAAGAGTTGTGCTTGGCATACCCCGGTTATCTGAAAGGAAAACAGAAATAGAGTTGGTAAAGACCGAGAACAATGGTTCGTAACACGAAGGAACAACCTTCCAAGGCATATCGAACTTACTAAAAACGACGCAAGCGTGATTAACAAAGCTTGCGCAAACTCCGGAACGGAATGACCTCGACGAACGGTAGCCTATGCCTTTTTTCACGAAAGGAGTTGCTATGACAGATTTAGCGCAACAATTTACACGTGAAAATCCAAAATCTAGTTTAGAGCTGACAGATGGAAACACCTATAGTGGGGTAATCAGAGTGAACAGTGAAAGTGTCTTTAGACAGGCTGGCCGACATTTCGATAAAAGGACCTACCTTTGTCAAAGGCGCCTTGTTGTCCTTGGCGTGTTAGTCGTGAATACTTGAACGAGAAAACATACAAGTGTTTGTCGTGTGTTTTCTTGTTCATGTACTCACTAGTTACCCCATTACAACGAACACGCCAAAGAAAACAAGATGCCTTTGAGAAAAGTATGTCCTCGTATCAAAACGTCAGCCAGCCTGCCTGAGGCACTTCCACTGTTCACCCTTATCCCAATATACACATGAAGGAATTCAAGACTGATATGCCGGGGAGCCTGAATAGACAAAACATTGGTTGACGTGAGTACAGTGGCTGATATCTCCGCGTATAACGCTTAGTATACCAACAAAACCGATGTAGCTTAAGAGGGATATGGTTATTCAAGCTAACTTCGTTATTTCATCGACGCAAGGTACTGAGAGAATTTTATCACGAGAGGGAAGCTGAAATGTCTACCTGAATAAATTTTTCTGGCGTGCAAATGAACGTTAAGTAAAGGGGATGGTAAAGAAAATAGAGAGAAGGTGTTGATGATCATGAGGACGAAGGCAAAGATGAATAGAAACCTTGAAAGCTTAGGCTACCGACAAAGTGTGCTGGTTGATCATTAATTTGTTAGTAAGACAGACTCTGAATTTACTTTGATGACCAGGTGTCATCAAAGTACATGCAGACCTGACAAGCTAGGCTGAAGTGAGCATGCGAGCAGCTTGTCATGTAAAACAAAGAATTTCAACACCACAGTGTAGGGGTCATGAAGTTTCGCAACTCAGCCTTCAGAAACTATCGGAATTGGGTATCTGAATGCAGTTGTGCTACTTCCCGCAAAATAACGTATAGCCTGTTTTCTCGGTGGTGAACACCTTACGTGAATGCTCATATTCCTGTGCATACAGGCTGCTCGCCAACCAAATCATGCGGCTCACAATCCAAGAGTATGGTTACTCCGCTATCACACTTTACAGACATAGCGCTAACTTATCACCCAAATGCAGACAGAGTCATGAATATCATCAGATGGTCACAGACCTGTGGTGTGTCTTTAAAGTAAATCCCTTAGATACCTCGTCAAACGCGCAAATGGCGCAGGCGTCCCACTTCAGTGTTTTCTGTAGGCGCTGGCATTATTGATGTGAACCTAAAGACGTGATGACGTTGATTGTTGCTTGAATTTGTGAAGTCATCATGGCTCTATGCTCTCATTTCAACTGACGTCACCTGACTGCATCACATGCCATCACCGCTTGCATGCATGACGGAGGCAGTGCGAAACGAAGGAAGTTTCGAAAAAAACTTCCTTCGAGATCTCGGAGGCGCTGCATAACCACTTATGTATGAAAAGCACCCGGAGAGCGGCGGAACTGGATGAGTACGCCGATAAAAAAAAAGAAGATGCCTTTCGTCTTCGAATGGTCATAGGCGGATGCACAAGGGATCATGTGGGTTTCTTATGTTGGCCGTGCTCTATTGGCACTGGTCAAAATACACTGAACGCAGCCCTCAGCAGCCTTCACCTCATCAAAAAAGTTGAATACACGCTTTTGAGATAGCCGGATTAGACAATGTCAAGTTCTAAAATGCTCGTTTATGGAAAATATAAGCGCTTTCATCATGGCGTTCTTGGCAACATTATTTGGTCTGCGTAACAAGATACGATGTTGTTAGATCGCGCAAGTGTAGATTGAGGCGTTGCTCAATGGCCTCATCAAGGCAAAGGTAGCCGGTAGTGAAGCTCCCACAGAAGCCCATGCGTCCAGGAAACGGAAGTTCATCAGCTGCCCATGGGGCTTAGCGCCATTTGCGTGAGGAGGGAACACTTTCGACGGAACTAAATGTCAAACATATTACGGAAGATCCGGTCAAAGAGCGACGTCTTTTCTGGGCATTCGCGCGAGATCTAATCTAAAAGTACTTTTTATAGGCCCCTAGAACTCCAGGCACTCAAAGTAGGTGTGCCGTCACGTCTATTACGAATGCGCATCAAACAACGCCAGCTAAACCAATGTCAACCATCAGACTTGAGAGTGTCGAACCGCCGCGTAATGCTCCTTGCTTTCAGTTTGTAACTTATTCTTGCCATTTTTATTCAGCACTCAATAAATCTTCACAGATGTATTAAACAAAGCAGCAGCGTACTTCACACATTTGCAGCGTTGTTGATTTGTTTTACACACATGCACGTAATTTAAAATGTAATTGCTTGTGTTATTCAGCTCTCACAAAAAGAGCACTTAGTAACGGCAAGTTGCAATTACCTTTTTCAATGATCACCCATAACGAGATTTAACACACTTCCCCCATCGAGCACCAAGTATAAGCCAATAAGTATACAAAAAAGCCTGGACATTACGTGTGCTACGTTTCATATTACGCTCGCACAAATTATCGTGACGTGTAACGTATGAAGGTATGCAAATAGTAGCGCACTGGGTACCTTAGCGATCTGATCAACGACAACAGGAGTAATAGTAGGCCCAATGAAACCGAGCCGCCGCAATACCGAGTCACGAAAATCGAACGAGCGCAGTTCTTGGTGTCTTGTCCAAAAGGTATGGGTCGCCTGGCGTTACCTTGTTGCTATTAAATCCTAGCACAGCATATCGCTTCAGCTGCTACAGAGGCGCATGCCCGGCGTGTGGTCCGCCTCGTCCGGTTGCCGGTTGGACACCGTACTCAACACGATCACCAACGATGAAACGCAGCTCATAACTCAGTGCATGGCAAAAAAAAAAAAAAAATCCCACCGCAGTAGTTCAGATAACGCATGCAGGTGCGGAACACCACAACGCAGGAAAGGCCACGTCATCACAGACGAACTTTACGAGGTGCATCTTTCCACGCACAGCAGGGGCTGTAGCTACACTGAATATAGTTACGGGATGTGCTCTAGCAGAGGGTGTTTAGAAAAAAAATGTTTGAAGAATTGGAGGCTTTCATGGATTCTTTAACCATTTCCCCTACATAATAATTTTTCGGGAAGTAAATATCATTTGTAAAACATGAAAATTGTGTCGCCCTTGTGTTCCCTCCACGCACAGCAATGCTTCAATTGCCCCACTCAGAAATACCCGTGCTTCGGACGCTAGCAATACAATCTGAACCGCTTTTACTCAAAGCTTCTCGACCTATTTGTGTACGCCGTCTCAACACGCTGGTCGCATCATTTCACCCTATTGCCTCAGCGGCCGCCCGCGCCTACGTACCTTGCTTGTCGCTGCTGCTTCTTTGGCCTGTCTTGTCGTAGGAAATTGGTGCATTGACGCTTAGGCAGCGGCTGCTTGCATTAATATTTCAGCATTCACGCCTAATCAATTGCTTCGTCTGACTGCGTGTTTGAGAGAACTAAGGTACTATGGTTTTGGCTAGTTATTCTGACAACTGAGTGGCCAACTTTGATCACCTACCATCAGGTGGCGTGCCGTTTCTAAAGAGCTAGGCGGTATACAGAGAGGAATTGTATAGCTAGTTAGAAAATGTTCATATGAATATACAATTTGTCGGCGTTAAATTAGATGGTATGAAGGAAACAGCCAATAATAATGCAATGGCACAGCAATGAGTGCGATATGACAAATTGTACTGCTACAAAAAGAATGGCAAGCAAATCGAAATGTGCAGCATGCTGTTCACGCAGAAACGACGCACAAAAATACAGAAGACGAGAGCGATCTAAAAACGTTCCCAGTTCTCACATAACATGCTGCCCATCAAAATCAACACCAAAACGTACTGACAGGTATAGGCTGGACGAGCCCGAATCAACAAGGCTCAGTTGTTACTTCGCTGGGTTTGAATGTGTGCTTCTTTCAAAAAGGGGGGGGGGGGGACTACGGCGAGTGAAGTAACCTTTGTGCCCTCAGTAAGATGAACGCAATCGTTTCAGTGAAAGCTGAACACGTATGATGCTCCCCGCACCGCAGCATAAGCGCACACGGGTGTATTTTTTCTCTTTATGTGGTGGAGGAGGGAGGAGTTGCGCATGCGTGGTAGATGAGATGAGCGGGGTGCTGCGCGGCCCCTTTGCGCCATATCGCCAGTACTGCGGAGAAAACGGTGATATTTTCCGCGAGATCGACATACCACCAACGGTAGGTGGCGTACATAAATAGCTCGACGTTTTAAAGTTGAGGTACGAGCGCTGTAAAAGCTCAGCGGTTAAAGTCACAGGCGGTGGAGTGAGAGGTGTACTGTTTTTCGACGTGATAACCTATTTCGTGTCTTTAACAAATACATGTATACATATACGGAGAGTGATTGACATGAACGGCGAAAAGCAGCTTAGAGTGTGCTTAAAACATCTATCGGAATGAAAATCTACAGGGCGCGTTCAAAAATTACAGCATAAACGTCTTGGTGCCAGAGGTTTTCTTACCTTGTCGTTCGCTGGTGGACACATATTAGGGAAGTAGTAATTCCAGTTGTTGCAGTCACCAGGCGCGGTCAAGAACTCCAACCGAAGGGTGCACCCTTCATCAGCATGCCGTGGGTACTTTGAAAAACCAAAAAAACAGAAACGTTAGTATGAAGATGATCAAGCTTGATAACGTTATGCTAGCACACCTTGTAAGCGTAGTTACAGCCACTTTGTAGCTGTAACCGGCACCATAACTTCGGCACCGAACTATATAGAGGAACCGTTTCATTGATACTACTGCTTGAAATATGCCCATGCAGCAGAACTGTGCAGTCCGCACCATCAACTCGGCGGATAATGAACGCCGAAAACACAGGAGGAGCGAACCCGTATACTGAAGTTAGTGCGATGGTTTCACAAGGTCAGAAGTGTTAATCGTGACTTCCTCAATTCAATTCAGCAGGGCACGCTGCCGCATCTGGTCGCCGAGACGACGCCTTAGAACATATGCACCTTTTTAAAGTACATATACACCTGATGTACACCTTTTTAAAAACGCTTCCCTGGGCGCCGCCATAGTCATCTTTGGGCGGCGCAAATAGGCGTGACGCTTCCAACATGCACTGACAAGGCTGCACCCTTGACCTTTGTACTCCCGCGCCCAGCCCATCATGGCGGTGCTTTTTCCCTCCTGTGAAAATGTGTATGCCCAATCCTTTATATACCCATATATGGACGCTGCTGTTTATGGTAAAATATGGTCTTCATCTATATATGTCTACATATAAAAGCCTCCAAATAAGGGTAAACTTGGTCTTATATGGATACCTTTATATAAAGCTATTCAGTTGTTTCATCTACGCGAATTGTGTCACCGGCATAAATTGTAGCCCCACAAATCATCCTACATCTAGAAATATTGCTGTTTGTTGAGAGGTCTGCATGCGATCCCTATGGTCTCCAAAACAAAGGTTGCACGTATCCTCTCAACATTCTTGCTGAAGTTATCCACATTATATCTCGAGTTATTCTCAAGACATTTTTGCTAACAATTTAAATTGGTGACCTATTAAAATTTGTGGTGGGTGCATGTCAATGTTAGTTCAAATTTTACTGAAGTGATACATAAATTATGTTTAAGTTTAACGCTTATCTATCGACACTTTACTTATTTATTTCATTACCCACTGTGCCAATTGGCTTTACAGTCAGAGAGCGTTTATAAAAAGTAGAATGCAACAAAAGATACATAGATACAAAGGAATTATGTCAGATGTGGGATATAATTCTTTTAGGCAGTGCGCCGTGCTCCCGACCAAGTTGCAGAAATTAGGTGCCCTTTCTCATCTTCTAAGCACTACCACCACCACCTGCCCTCTCCTACGCTCTCTCGCACCACATGGTCCAAATGCTAGGAGTGAGGATAAGCGCGCGCGCCCACAGCCATTGCTAGGGGTGAGTGAGTGAGAGCGGAGAGATAACACCTGCCGGCACGGTGACACCACTGCGGACAACGCCGGATGCCTGACATAGCCCGACTGAGGAATGCATTCGCATTAAAAAAAAGGTACAGGACTCTTCCTCTCGCTGTTCGCTCTCTTTCTTCCCTTTGCCCCACTTTCCCGTCCACTCGCGCCTCACTCTCGACCATTCGCAGGCTGGGTGCCTCCCAAGAACATTTGGAATGTGTGCTTGAGAACTGTGTGCTCGAGACGCCACCGCGAAACGCCACCGCAGAGCCTAGCACGCTCTTTGTTTCATTCACTTCATAGTATTTTTAACCATGCACACAAGCTAGTAGAGCTGGAAGCGAATACCACGTTTGTCGCGACAGAAAACGACACGTGTGGCGAACGGCACTATTGGCAGCATGGTGTAAGAAAGAAAAGAAAACATTCTTCTGACGCTGGGATCTCACTTGCGAAACTCCGTTGTGAACGCTACGTAATGCATTCGCATTTCCTCAAAATTACCTTCAGAAAGGTGGAGGCATTTCTTTCTGTTTATATATGCAAAGCACTTATCAGCAAACTTCCGCGACTTTGAGCGTATTGATTGATTGATTGATTGATTGATTGATATGTGGGGTTTAACGTCCCAAAACCACTATATGATTATGAGAGACGCCGTAGTGGAGGGCTCCGGAAATTTAGACCACCTGGGGTTCTTTAACGTGCACCCAAATCTAAGCACACGGGCCTACAACAGACTTTGAGCGTATCTATCTATCTATCTATCTATCTATCTATCTATCTATCTATCTATCTATCTATCTATCTATCTATCTATCTATCTATCTATCTATTTATCTATCTATCTATCTATCTATCTATCCGCCTACGACTTTTAGCTCTCCTGTTCATTTCGATATTGGTATCAATACCAAACTTGGTATGGCATAAATTGACTGTATGAAAAACATAATAGACCAGTCATACGATGAAATTCATGTTATGTATGTCATGGATGTCATGATTTACATTTCATGGGCCTGCAGCTGTTGCGGTGGTTTCGTTCACATGACATGTTGCAAAACTGGTATGGTATGACATGAGTGCATAGCGAACACGAGTGATAGACACTAACAATAAAATCGTGACATGCGTTTCATGTAACGACATGACTACATTCCACGCTCATACTGCGCTCGCGTCCATTTCGCTTGCGTCACATTTACCAAATCTGGTATTACGGGACGTGAATAGATGACGAAGGTATGATATTGGTGCAAACATGATAAACATGAGATGCGCACTATGTAACAATATGACTACATGCTACGCTGATGATGCGCGCGCAGCCGTTTCGCTAGCTTCACATGTACCAAACTCAGTAATACGCGACGCGAAGGGACCACATAAGTAAATGACACATTCAAACACGATAATCACCACATGCGTGTCATGTAACAACATGACTACATGCCACACTCATGATGCGCTAGCGGCCGTTTCGCTAGCTTCATATAGGCCAAATTTGGTATTACGTGACGTCAATGCATGAAAAATGTATGTGACTGATTTGAACATGACAATCATAAGACGCGTGTCGTGTGAGAACATGACTACATGCCACAGTCAACATGCCAGTACATTTCGACGTGACGCGGTGCGCGTGCTCGCCGGCGTTCATTTTGTTGTGTCACGCCGGCGTTGAACGCAAGGCGCCGGTCCTGCCATATACTTGCAGGCGCGCGCTGCGTTGCTTTGACGCATGCGCGTTTAAGCGCGTCCGGCGTCCATCCGTCACAAAAAGAGGGAGATGCAGTGTTGTCTGGGTAACGCATCAGCGCGAAATGCAGCATGTCCCATTTCACACGGGTTGCCGTCAGGCCGCGCTGACCGACGATGTTCGCGCCAGACGTGCCTGGCGTCAGACTATATCATAGAGTGCTCTCGTTTTGCTAAGGTAGTGTCGCTGTGCCCAGCGTGCGCACGCGTCAACGCTACATTGTATGTTGGGCCCTTATGTGCTCTCGGATGTTTTGCTAGCTCCACATAACAAATTTCCACATAACAATTTTGCTAGCTCCACATAACGTGATGTCAATGGATGACGCCAGTATATGACTGGTGCAAACATGATAATCCTGACACGAGTGTCATGTAGGAACATGACAACATACCACGCTCATAACATGCTTGCGACCGTTTCGCTAGCTCCACGTATACCAAAATTGATATCCCGTGACGTGAATAGATGACGAAGGTAAACGACACATCCAAACCAAGATAATCATGACCCGGAAGTCATATACGGCATCATTTGGCTCCTCCTCCTAACGTTGTGCTGATTTTAAAGTGACATATCAATCTTTCTCATTCGTGCTTCGCATATCATTGATTCTCACTGTACGTGAGATCTGCCAATCTTTTTGTATTTTTGCTTAGCACGCTCTCGAGGCTATCGCTTCACGTTCCCGAGCCCACATCAGCTGCATAGCTGCGTTTTCGGGGAAGCGGAGGGGAGCGTTAAGTCATACTTTGAAAGCATGTTCATCTGTGCGCTATAAGTATTCACATGCTTGCGCCCATGTGTTCGTATACACGTGCGAAATTGAAATTTTTTGAGTAAGGGAGGAGGGGAGGAATTGAACTTTCTCGAAGCCCATTTGACTACGCCACAGATTCTCGTGATAGCATATATACCGAGAAAATACAAACGTTCATATCACGGCCATGACAAACCGGACTTTGAAGGACCTGCCAACCCACGCAATTTAACCTCACAAAAGAACGGAAAGTGTCTCCTCGGAAACTGCCGAATCTGTAAACTCAAGCCTCGAAGACTGTCGACGTCTAGCTAAAAGGGTGAACTTGCCACCTCAGATCCACGGCTTGCTGCAGCAACCTGTCGATTCTCCCACTTTAAACGACTGCCGCCGACACACCCCTTCAATATAGCTCTTTTGACCTCGGCGGAGGGGCTGTGGTGCTCAGTTTCTCAACCAATGGTGGCGAGTTTGATCCCGGCCACGGGGGTCACAATTCGACGAATTTAAAATGTCAGAGCCCCGTATTCTCAGTGATATCAGCGCATGTCAAAACACCGCACAGTTGAAATTTTCGGTGCCCTCTACTACGGCGTCCCTCCCCTTCTCGCGAACTACTTTATGCTGTCATGTGTCACTGCAGACGACGAAACTTTTCGACGGCTGGTGCACGACATCTCGCTAGTGAGGCCATGAGATTGTGACCAAAATGTGTCGTCTAGAACGGCCTCAAAGGTCTCAGTGTTCCGTTGTCACCAGCGAGGCCACAGCAGAGAGAATGAAGAAGTATGACACAAGTTTTTTAACACTGTAGATGCAAACATACACACGTGCCGCATCCGCGCACAATGCATGTGTCAAAAATATTTGGGTCGGGAAAGTTCTAGGGTGTGCACCCATGCCGTAGATTTTTTTTTAGGTGAACTGCTTGTTCCGACAATGAATAACGTGGTATGGACAACTGTTAGTGCACTGAAGTGTCTTCCGTACTTGATGGTATAGTACGCATGTAGCACCAAGGCTCAGAGGCAATAAAATGGCGCAATGAAACAGCCATTTGGTGTATTCAGCGCCGAACAGCACCCGCGTTAATAACGCTACTTAGCTCGCATTACAAA